CGATGGACCAGATGGCCCACTCCTGCTCCTATTTACTATGTTCTTATTTCTTTCCTCTCCCAGCGCCCGCTGGACCCTACACGAGGGTTAGTGTCTTGTGACTCGGTGGTAATATAAAGTTTTTGAGAAGATTTGTAGCTTGGGTTGTGGATGAGATTGTAGACTTGCTCACCGAGCTGGTGTGTTTGATTATAGATGTTTCATCACCCTGCTAGGTAACATTGTCAGTGCCCCTCTGGTGAAACTTCACTGGAGGCACACTGATGATGTTACCGAGCAGGGTGACGAAACATCTGCAACCAAACCCACCGGCTCAGCAAGCAAGTCTACAATCTCAGTGGTAGCATCGCCATCTTTTGGCAGATCAAGTCCCACCTGTCCCACAGTGTGTCAGGACATGTCTGAACAGGTTGATTAATGTTTTTGAAAGATGAGATTAGATAAATGGTTCATGGAATAGGGCTTGAAGCAGCAAGAAGACCTGTTTGGTCACATGGAGATTAAATGTGGATATAAATGGCCTGGGCTCCATGTGTTCACTGTGAATGTGTATAACCAAATGCTTAGTTTGAAGTTAACAAGCTTTTCTTGCCAGAGTTCGATTATACGGTGATATAGCACGGGAGTTAGATATGTGGTTGAAAGTGAATATTTACATTTACATGTAAATTTGCATTCTGCTGTTCTGAGGTTTAACTCCATGGACTGATGGAACCAAGTGGTTTGGATCAGCACTGATGACTGATAGGTCATCTCCAACTCTTTGTCTTGTTCTCTCACTGTCTCTCCTGTGTCTCTCTCTTGCCTTTCTATCTCTCCTCTCTCTCTTTCTCTCTTTTCCCCCCCTCTCTCTCTCTCTCTGTCTATTTGTCCTTTTATCTGTCTCTCTCTTTCTGTTTGCCCTCTCTGTGCCTGTCCTCTCCCTCTCTCTTTCACGTTGCCTTGGCCTCTCTCTCTGTGTCTCTTGACTCTCTCTCTCTCTCTCTCTCCTATTTCTGTCTCAGCCTCTCCCTGTCTCTGTTTCCTGTCTCTTTCTCTCTCTTTCTCATTTTCTCTATCTCTTCTGTCTGTCTGTCTATCTGTCTGGTCACAGGCGTTGTCTGTCTTGCTGTTTGTGTTCCTGCCTGTGCTATTATGGGTTTTGATAGGGCTGAGTGCCCTTGCCTGTGTTTTGTGGAATTCTATGGGAAGAGGTTTGTCCTTGGAACATTTTGCTTGCATTTCTGTTTTGCAGAATCCAAGGCCACAGTCACAAGCCCGAGAGAGCCGGCCCTTTAAGAAGATGTTCCAGACGATGTCAAATATGGAAGCAGCAGGGAATCCAAAAGCTGCGTGGGGCAGTTATTGCCAGACCTATGGGGTTATTAGTCAAACTGGTCTGGAAAACCTGCGTCACCTCCAGATCCAAAATAAGCCATAGCTACTCAGGACAGCACAGGTCAGATAGCGCAGCGGGTATACATCAACAGGGAACCTGCGCAGGAGTTATACAGGACATAGCTAGGACTATTGTCAGGAATCATCCAGTCCAGCAGCTACTGGCATACACTTCCAGCTGGGAATGTTCCACAAGTGCCAAAACAATCAGTACATCAGGATCTGATAGGAGAGAAGTTACTTTTTAATGTGAATAATTAACTCTATGCAAACAGCCATGTGGAGAAATTGGTAACTTGCTCCACTGATGAGCAGTCCTGTGAAAGTGCCTTCAGGGGAGGGGAAGCTGGAGACAGGAGCAGCTGGGTGGGGTTTGTGTGTGTGGCTGTGGCCTGGACTTCAAAATAGGATTCCTTACTAGCCTGAAGGCAGGATGCAGTGGGCTTGACTTCCGCCTTGATTCATTCATGGCCTTTAACTCTCCAACCAATCTCGCCCAGGTTCTGACTCAGCTCAAGAACTTCAGGTTAACTGTTTGTGATTCTCATTTTCTGTAAATATTTGTTCCTTCTGGAATGTTTGATAATTGACCACAAATCTCTTATTAAAATGAACATCTATAGATACGTCAGAACAGTTAATGTGATTTTTCCAGATGATTATTAAAATACACCACAAATTTGTACACTTCTTTGTTCGAATGTTGAGACTTTCTTCCAAAATACTAGAACTATAAGAGTAACATATCCTGCACCAATCCAGTCAGTGTGCCTTGATAGCATTGTCCTGGGGGAAGCAATGACTACCTGACAGTGCGGCGCTCCCTCAGCACTGACCCTCCGACAGTGCAGCACTCCCTCAGCACTGATCCTCCGACAGTGCGGCACTCCCTCAGCACTGACCCTCCGACAGTGCAGCACTCCCTCAGCACTGACCCTCCGACAGTGCCCGCTCCCTCAGCACTGACCCTCCGACAGTGTGGCGCTCCCTCAGCACTGACCCTCCGACAGTGCCCACTCCCTCAGCACTGACCCTCTGACAGTGCCCACTCCCTCAGTTATCACATTTCCATGGGGTTACCTGCTGGACATCAAGCCTTGCTGTTCCTGAAGTGGTGAAAAATATTAGAGACTTTATGAATGTATGCAAATTCCACCAGTTATTTCTGGCTTTTTAGCGCCAGGTTAACAAAGCACTGACTGGGTTATATGTTTCATGACAGTTACTGTTTATTGCAAAGAAGGGTGAATCTGCTCTAGTTTTGCAAGTTTAGAGGACCACAAGAGACAGTTGCTATGAGTTTCACCTGCTCGTCACTGCAGTTCAAATGAGGGGAGAGGTTGAGAAGGAGGGTACCTCGTGAATAATCTTCACATTAATGGTTGAAACAAACGTCCTTTAGGGAAGGAAACTGCCATCCTTACCTGGTCTGGCCTACATGTGACTCCAGACCCACAGCAATATGGTTGACTCTCAACTGCCCTCAGGGCAATTAGGGATGGGCAATGATGTCCCTCATCCCGTGAATGAATAAAAAAGATTGTACCTGAACAGACTCAGAAAAAGAGTAAGAAACTTGCATAACGTTTGAGCAGTATTTAGATATTCACTTGCATTGCCATAATCTTCAGGGCTATGGGTCAAAAAAATGGCATTAGTGAAGTTGGAGATAACACGGTGTAGAGCTGGATGAACACTGCAGGCCAAGCATTATCAGAGGAGCAGGAAGGCTGACGTTTTGGGTCTGGACCTCGACAGTTCCCACAGTCTCCAGTGAAGTTGGATCTTTGTTGACCAGCACAGCCACAATAGGCTGATTGGCTGCTTTATGAGCTGGAAATGTCCTGAAAATGTAGTGAAAGTAGAGTCCTCGAAACTTTTAAGTTAGAGGTGGAGTGATTCTTTTAAGCCGGGGTGAAAGATTATCAGGGAATATGGATTTGAGGTTAAAATCAGATCAATCATGATCTTATTGAATGGCAGAGCAGACTCAAGGGACAGAATGGTTTCCCCTCGCACCTTGTTTATATATATTCTCTCTCTCCTGGAATTTTTCTTTCTTAGTATCTGTCGCGGTCTATTTGTCTCTCCCTCGGTTTCTTACTCTCAGTTTCCCCCCCCTCCTCTCTATTTGTCTCCTCCATTTCTCTCCCCCTTGGTTCCCCTCTGTCTCCTCTCCATCCCCATATTGCCAATGGAATTCTTATGGTGTGCAGGTATCAAACTGTGCCTGATGTGTTTGTAACCAAAACACTATAAGATATAAGAGCAAAATTAGGCCATTCAGCCCATCAAGTCTGATCCACAATTTGATCATGGCTGATATGTTTCTCAAATCTATTCTCCTGCCTTCTTCCTCTAACCCTTGATCCCTTCGCTAATCAAGAATCTATCTATCTCCGTCTTATAAAATCTCAGTGACATGGCTTCCACATCACTCTGTAGCAGTGAGGTCCACAGATTCGCCACCCTCTGGCTGAAGAAATTCCTCCTCATCTCAGTTCTAAAGGGTTGTCCCTTCACTTTGAGGCTGTGCCTTGGGGTCCCAGTCTCTCCTATCAATGGAAACATCTTTTTGATGTCCACACTATCCAGATCTGCCTGTATTCTGTAAGCTTCAATCAGATCCCCCTCCCCTATCCTTCTAAACACCATCGAGTACAGATCCAGAGTCCTCAACCAGTAACATTTACCCACATCATGTGGAGAAATCGCCAGAGATTTTGATTAGGATTTGTTTAACCAACCAGGTTCCCAGGACAGAATATTCCTTGATCAATTACAAAATTACTTAAACTGGCCCAAATGGGAGGACTTTGCAGACTGATTGTCAGCACAAGATGGCCAAAGAACTAAGACAACAATCTGAACATGAAACTGTCTGCGATAATCCCCCACCCAAGCCCCACAGCAGACATAGGGCATGAGCAGCAGGCTTGACACAGGTCTGTGTGATACGATGCTGCAGGCTAAGGGTTACAATCCTACACTGACATGATGCTGCACAGAGGGATTTGCATGTGGTTCTATGGATTTGTTTGTAGAGCAGGTGGAGTCTGACAGGTGGAAGATGAAAGGATGAGCTGCTCACACAAACTGAGTAGAGGGTGGGACAGAAATCGACATGCAATCAAAAACAACAGCCAGCAGTGGACAGTGAAAACATCCAGCCCGTCGCATTGCTCTGGGAAATGGCAAGAGCTCCCCGATGGAACCAGAGAATAGCTCAAAGAGACTTTACAAAGACACAGGTGAGCGTTCTTTCCCATCAGAGTGAACCAGTTGTTGTAAATGTGTGTTTAATACTCCACCCAGTTAGTCCCACTCCCCCCTCGCTCCTCACACCCTTTAATATCCCACACAGTCTAATCCCACTTTCCCCTCACTTTGGAAGGTGCTGTCTGAGGATCTTTGGTGAATTTCTGCAGTGTATGTTGTAGACGGTACACACTGCTGCTACTGAGCGTCGGTGGTGGAGGGAGTGGATGCTTGTGGATGTAATGCCTACCAAGTGAATGAATGTCCTTTATTGTCACGTGCATTCAACATAAAATACAGTGAAAAGTGTGTACTGTCGCTCGGACATAACGGCCATTCACAGAGTAAAATAAAAAAGAAAACCTAAAGAGAGTCCAACTTTACCTACTCTGCTGCTAAAGCAGGCCCACGCCAGTGTCCTGCTCTGGGCTACACCAGCCCATGCCATTTGCTCAGAGAGTGTCCCGCTCCGAGCTACACCAGCCCACGCCATGCTGCAGAGAGAGTGTCCCACTCTGGGCTACACCAGCCCACGCCATGCTGCAGAGAGAGTGTCCCACTCTGGACTACACCAGTCCATGCCATGCTAGAGAGAGAGTGTCCCACTCTGGGCTACACCAGCCCACGCCTTGCTGCAGAGAGGGTCCCACTCTGGGCTATACCAGTCCATGCCATGCTAGAGAGAGAGTGTCCCACTCCGAGCTACACCAGCCCATGCCATGCTGCAGAGAGAGTGTCCCACTCTGGGCTACACCAGCCCCTGCCATGCTGCAGAGAGAGTGTCCCACTCCGAGCTACACCAGCCCACGCCGTGCTGCAGAGAGTATCCCACTCTGGGCTACACCAGCCCACGCCATGCTGCAGAGAGAGTGTCCCACTCTGGGCTTTCCAGTGCACTGCTTTATCCTGGATGGTTTCAAGCTTCTTGAGTGTTGTTGGGGCTACACCCATCCAGGCAAGTGAGGAGTATTCCATCACACTCCTGACTTGTATCTTGTAGATGGTGGGCAGGCTTTGGGGAGTCAGGAGGTGAGTTACTCACCATAGAAGGTTAAGAGGTGACTTGATAGAGACATACAAGATGATCAGAGGATTAGATAGGGTGGACAGTGGGAGCCTTTTTCCTCGGATGGTGATGGCTAGCACGAGGGGACATAGCTTTAAATTGAGGGGTGATAGATATAGGACAGATGTCAGAGGTAGGTTCTTTACTCAGAGAGTAGTAAGGGCGTGGAATGCCCTGCCTGCAAAAGTAGTAGACTCGCCAACTTTAAGGGCATTTAAATGGTCATTGGATAAACATATGGATGATAATGGAATAGTTTAGGTTAGATGGGCTTCAGATTGGTTTCACAGGTCGGCGCAACATGAGGGCCAAAGGGCCTGTACTGCGCTGTAATGTTCTAAAAAAAATTCCAAAAATAGTATTCTTAGCCTCTGACCTGCTCTTGTAGCCACTTTGTTTATGTGGTGAGTCCAGTTGAGTTTCTGGTCAATGGTAACCGCTAGGATGTTGATAGTGGGGGATTCAGTGATGGTAACTCCACCAAGGGATGGTGGTTAGATTGTCTCTTATTGGTGATGGTCATAGCCTGGCATTTGTGTGGCACGAATGTCACTTGTCACTTGTCAGCCCAAGCCTGGATATTGTCCAGGTTTCATTGCATTTGAACATGGACTGCTTCAGTATCTGAGGATTCACGAATGGTGCTGAACATTATGCAAGCATTGGCGAACATCCCCACTTCTGACCTTATGATGGAGGGAAGGTCATTGATGAAGCTGTTGAAGATGGTTGGGCCGAGGGCACTACCCTGAGGAACTCCTGCAGAGATGTCCTGGAGCTGAGATGATTGACCTCCCACAACCACAACCATCTTCCTATGTGTCAGGTACAACTCCAACCACTGGAGCGTTTGTTCCCTGGTACCCATTGATGCCAGTTTTGCTCGGGCTCCTTGATGCCACACTCAATCAAATGCAGCCAGGGGAAGCAATGGCCCAGCGGTATTATTGCTAGACTATTAATCTAGAAACTCAGCTAATGATCTGGTGGCCTGGGTTCAAATACCGCCACAGCAGGATCTAGAATTTGAATTCAATAAAAAGTCTGCAATTAAGGGTCTAATGATAACCATGAAACCATTAGTTGATTGTTGGAAAATCCCATCTGATTCACTAATGCCCTTTAGGGAAGGAAATCTGCCATCCTTACCTCATCTGGCTTACATGTGCTCCAGACCCACAGCAATGTGGTTGATTCCAAACTGCCCTCTGGGCAATTAGAGATGGGTAATAAATGCCGGCCCATTTTCCATGATTGAATTTAAAAAAAGGGCAGATAGAGTGCTGGTGCCGTGTTAATATCACTGAGAGGGTCTCAGGGATTCAGGTTAATTCTGTGTGACATGTATTCATGTCCCACTCTGGCAGAAAGAAATTTGAATTTGTTAAAATTCTGGAATAAAAGGCTAGCATAATGGTGACCATGTAAACATTGCTGATTGTTGTAAAAACTCATTGTTCATTAATGTTCTTCAGGGAAGGAGATCTACCAGCCTTACTGCTGCATGTGACTGCAGACCCATAGCAATGTGATTGACTTGTAACGACCCTCTGAAATGGCCCAGTGACACACTAGGATCAAGGATAATTCAGGATGGGCAATAAATGCTGACTCAGCTCTGCAGAGATGATAAGGATTTGTTTTTTTCTAAAAAGGCCTTGGGACTGAACTGAAAGGAGGAACAAATGGGTCACTTCTGGCTACCCAGTCAATGACTTGTTATTAAGATCTGAATGCTAACAGTTATAGAATTGACGAGGTCTTCAAATTAGACTTCAGGTCAGATGAGAGTAGTCAGATATCCTGATATTTGACATATTCAGGTTCTTCCAATATTTCAGCCAAGAGAGTCCTTTGCTATTGATTCTGCCTGAGGTGTTCTGCTATTTTTTTTAGAATAGTTAGAGTTAGACTTTTCCAGCTTAGACATCTTTCATCGATGGATGCACCAAAGGGTGCTAGAAAACATAGTAATGACAGTCCAGAGGCTGTTGCTAGGTAACCTTCAGCTCAGGGCCTCGATCAACTAGCTTGACAGGCAATTCAAGTCATAAATCCATCTTATCTTGATGAAGAGCTTTGCTTCTCTGAAGTCACTTGACTGTCTGTAAACAGCAGGTGAAGCGTAACAAACTTCAACACAATTCTTTTGTAATTACCATCGAATCCAACACCCAGAAATTATGCAGTAAAAACCCTTTTTAATCCAGACTGTTACAATATTTCCATATTCAACTTCCTTGCAATCCATAAAGAAACAGGCAATCCTGAAAACCCTCCAGCCTTGGAATATAGAACATAGAACATAAAACAGTACAGCATACAGGCCCTTTGGCCCACGATGTTGTGCCGAACTTTTACCCTAAACCTAAGGTCTATCTAAGCTCCACCCCTACCTTATACTATCATCCATATGCCTATCTAATAGCCGCTTAAATGCCCCTAATGAGGCCGACTCCACTACCCTCTCTGGCAATGCATTCTACACCCCGACCACTCTCTGAGTAAAGAACCTACCTCTGACGTCTCCCCTATATCGACCTCCACTCACTTTAAATCTATGCCCCCTCGTAATAATTACCTCCACCCTAGGAAAAAGTCTCTGGATGTCTACTCTATCTATACCTCTTATCACATTGTGCACCTCTATCAAGTCACCTCTCATCCTTCATCATTCTAAAGAGAAAAGCCCTAGCACTCTCAACCTTTCCTCGTACAACCTTCCCTCCATTCCAAGCAACATCCTAGTAAATCTCCTCTGCATCATTTCCAACGCTTCCACATCTTTCCTGTAATGAGGCGACCAGAACTGGACAGAATACTCCAGATGTGACCGAACCAGGCTTTTGTATAGCTGGAGCATAACTTCACGGCTCTTGAACTCAATCCCTCTATTACTGAAAGCTAACACACCATACGCCTTCTTAACAACCCTATCCACCTGGGTGGCAGCTTTCAGGGAACTGTGGACATGAACCCCAAGATCCCTCTGCTCCTCCACACTGCCAAGAATCTTTCCATTAACCCTATATTCTGCTTTCAAGTTTGTCCTTCCAAAATGAATCACCTCACACTTTTCAGGGTTAAATTCCATCTGCCACTTCTCAGCCCAGCTCTGCATTCTATCAATGTCTCTTTGTAACCTAGAACAGCCCTCCGCACTGTCCACAACTCGACCCACCTTCGTATCATCCGCAAACTTGCTAATCCACCCTTCCACTCCTTCATCCAAATCATTTACAAAAATCACAAATAGAAGAGGACCCAGAACAGATCCTTGTTTTACCCCATCGTAACTGAGCACCATGTTGAATATTTTCCGTTAAGGGTCAGCCAATTCTGAATCCAATCTGCCACATTTCCCCCTATCCCATGCCTCCTTACCTTCTGCATGAGCCTACCACGGGGAACCTTATCAAACGCCTTACTTAAATCCATGTATACCACATCAACTGCTCTACCTTCATCCACGTGTTTGGTCAACTCTTCAAAGAATTATGAAACATAAAACCAGGAGCAGATGCAGGCCATTCAGCCCATTGAGTCCAGTCTACCATTCAATGAGATCATGGCTGATTTTATCATCCTCAACTCCACATTCCTGTCTTTTCCCCATAACTCAGGATTCCCTTACAGATTAAAAATCTATCTCAGGCTTTAAAGTATGTAATCAACCAGCCTGGACAGTCCTCTGTGGTAAATAATTCCACAGATTCACTCCCCTCAGAGCAAGAAATTCCTCCTCATTTCTGTCTTAAAATGTGTGACCCCACCCCCCCCCCCCTGCCCCGCCAAACTCCCTTTCATATGATGTCCTCTGGTCCTAGATTCTCCTCCAGGTGAAACAACCTCGACACACCTTGTGAAGCCCTGTATTTAACCCCGTACTGTCCCTGTCCTGGAAGTGTTTAATGGGGACAGTGTAGAGGGAGCTTTACTCTGTGTCTAACCCCATGCTGTCCCTGTCATGGGAGTGTTTGATGGTGGGGGGAAACAGTGTAGAGAGAGCTTTACTCTGTATCTAACCCTGTGCTGTCCCTGTCCTGGGAGTGTTTGATTGGGACAGTGTAGAGGGCGCTTTACCTTTGGTTTGAAACAGTAGAGCAAGCTTTCCTATTGCAGGGTGCATGCATTGCTGGTAAGTACCCCCTCCTGGGGTTGTAGCTGTTGCTGCTGAGTTACAGTCACGCTGTGACAGAGGGCATGACTTCCATTTGATTGACCACAGGGTTTTGAAGAATATGATCTATTTCCAAGGCAGGGTCTTTTTTATTTATTCACTTGTGGGTTGTGAGCCTGTTGATTACCCCAATGTTTATTGCCCGTCCCTAGTTGCCCTTTGAGGAGATGGTGTGAGCTGCCATCTGGTTGAGCCACAGTGCTGTGAGGTAGAGAGTTCTGGATGTCCACGTGCTGTAGGTAGAACAAGAATGCAGCTCAATGCCACCTTCTCAAGGGGCAACTAGGGACAGTCAGGAAACACTGGACCAAAAGGCAAACCAAACATAATGGTCACTGGATGTCTTTGTGCAAACCAGAAGCTTGTGTTGTATTGCTCAGGTGTGTTAGTGTGTAACCTCTCACCTCTATTACAGCCAGGGAAGCCCAGCAGCTGGAAGTGTTTGAAAGGTGGATTAATTACCACTTGGAGAAGGTGAGTAAAGAGTGAGTGTGAGACAGAAGCAAAAGGAACCCAGAAACACAGAACCTCGGACATAGGCTCAGTTTCTTTTACTAAAACATTGTGATTGACAGGAATGGCTCCAGCAACAAGTCAGTGTGGAAAGACTGGAAAAGGTGGGCTGGTTCAGAGGAGATTTGACAGAAATGTTGAAAATCACTGAGAGTAAACAGGAAGGAACGGTTTCCAGGGGCAGGAAGGTCTGTGACCAGAGAGACACAGATTGAAGAAAATTGATAAAAGGACCAGAGTCAAGGGAAACAGGAAGAATTGTTATTAGTTTCGGCAAGTCATTGTGATGTGGAACACTACCTGAAAGGGCAATGGAAACTATTCAGCAGGAATTATGTAAAGACTGTTTCTTTACAATTTTCTGTATGTTTCATTGTGGACTGAAATGGGAAAGGTTTGTTTTAAAACACCAAGGAATGTGGAAGGGATTGCTGCACTTTTTAAAAGCACTCAGTGCAAGTGGTGTTTACGCAGCTGCTTGTTCAAGCAGTGAGAGGAGGTTACTGCAGATTAGCTGGAGTCAGAGGGGTGTGTATGAGGGAGATTTAGTCAGTAACTAGCAGCTGATTAGCCTGTGGAGTGGTGATCAGTTATGGCTGATGAAAGCTTCTGAGCTGCCAACAACGATGTGCTTGGCTCGCAGCAGAACAGCTTGGGCCTGGGAATGTTCTGGCAGAAACCATTGGAGTTCGAGAGGAGAAGGAGTTGCTCCTGGTTCTGCAGGCTTGGGGGAAGAGTCTGATAGCGAAGACACACAATCAGAACAGTCTACCTCCTTGGGGCACTCATGGGACAGCACCTTCCAAACCCATGGCCACTTCCATCTGGAAGAACAAGGGCTGCAGATACATGGGAACACCACCCCCTAAAAGATCCCCTCTAAGCCACTCACCGTCCTGACTAGGATGCAGTATTCCTAGCCTCTGACCTACTCCAGTCAAAGGTATCACTGTTCTTTCACTGTCACTGGTTCATAATCCTGGAATTCCCTCCCTAATGGCACATGGACTTCAGCGGTTTGAGAAGGCAGCTCATCATCACCTTCTGAAGGGGCAACTAGGGACAGGCAAGAAATGTTGACCAGCCAGTGACGCCCATGTTCCATGAAGAAACTCTTTGGACCTACTGTTTTGATCCACAACTTCCCAATTCATTACAGAATAGAAACGGGTCATTCTGCTTAATGGTGTTGTAAATGATACTATAGGCTCCTCCCAACAGTCTTCAGCTCACAAACAAAAACAGAAGTTGCTGGAAAAGCTCAGCAGGTCTGGCAGCGTCTGTGAAGAAAAACACAGTTAACATTTCAGGTCTGGTGACTCTTCCTCAGAACCCTCAGCTTCAGCTCATCCAATCAGCACCTTGCTAAAGAAATGGAGAGCTCAGAAACCCACCAGAACACAGCAGAAATGATAGGACACTGTGCTGCTACATTGCCAGGCAACAGGCCATACAGCCCATCAATTAAAGCAAACACACATGTTCTCAGTTCTTTGTAATGGGTAGAGGAGATACTGTACCTAACCAGCCCACACTTGTGGTGATTTGGTGATTGGACAGCCGAATTATCCTGAGTGTGCTAATTGCTACACAACCAGTCAAGCTGATAAGCTGGCTCATTTCTGCTTGCTAAAAATGTTCAGACAGGGGACCAGCTAACACACAAACTGGGCCAACAGGTTGGAACCTTGTACCAGTAGTGATTTATGTTGGATGGGAGGGGAGTGGTCCCCAATGCTTTCTCAGGACAACACTTTAGCCGATCAGAATCAAGTGGTGACCCAATCAGCAGACCCTTCTTGTTTACTTTGATTTGTTCATTAATGTGTTTGTCCCAAGGAGTGTAACAAAGTGAATGATGCTGTGATTTCCTTTTCAGTCTTGGGACAGGTCATTGAGGAATGAGGTGAGGAGAAATAATTTCACTGAGGGTTTTGTATCTTTGGAATCCTCTGTCCCACAGGATTAAATATGGTCGGGTATATTTAAGGCAGGGAGAGACAGATAATAAAATCAAAGGATGCTGGAAATTTGAAACAATAACTGAAATTGCTGAGAACCTCAGCAGGTCTATTGGAGAGAAAGCACAGTTAATGTTTTGACTCCAGTGACCCTTCTCCAGAATTGTTCGTAATTGGGAAAGGGGCAGTATTTCTGCCAATAATGTTCTGGGGATCTGGGTTTGAATCCCGCCACAGCAGATGGTGGAAATGGATTCAATAAATATCTGGAATTAAGAATCTAATGATGACCGTGAATCCATTGTCAATTGTCAGGAAAACCCACCTGGGTCACTAATGTCCTTTAAGGAAGGAAGTGGCCATCCTTACCTGGTCTGGCCTACATGTGACTCCAGACCCACATCAATGTGGTTGACTCTTAACTGCCCTCTGGGCAATAAATGCCCTCATCTCGTGAATGAATAAAAAAGAAGAAAAGCTGGAAAGACTGGGTTTGTTTTCACTGGAACATGGGAGGTTGAGGGGGGAACCTGATAGAAGTTTATAAGATTGTGAATGGCATGGATAGAGTGGAAAGTATGAGGCTTTTTCCCAGGGTGGAGGGGTCAGTTACTAGGGGACACAGGTTCAAGGTGCTGTGGGGCAGTGGGAGTGGGGGGTTGCAGGATGGGGTTAGATTTTTAAAAGAGATGTGCGAGGCATGTTTATCACACAAATGGTGGTGAGTGCCTGGAACACGCTGCCAGAGGAAGTGGTGGAAGCAGACACAATAGCAGCGTTCAAGAACCATCAGGATGAATACGTGAATGGGAAGGGAATAGAATGATGCAGATCCTGTAAGTGAAGACAGTTTTAGTATGGAAGGGCCTAATGTGTGTGCGCAGGCTTGGAGGGCCAAAGGGCCTGTTCCTGGGCTGTATCGTTCTTTGTCCCTTGTTCTTTAACAGGGTGGTGTGTTGAAGTGGCAGGCAATTGGAAGCTCAGGATCTTTTTCACAGGCAGTACGTAGATGTTCTGTGAAGTGGTCACCCAGTCTATGCTTCGTTTCCCCAATGTAGAGGAGACCACATTGTGAGCAGCAAATGGAGTAGGGTAGATTGAGTGAAGTGCAGGTAAAGTGCTGGAAGATGTGTTTGGGCCCTTGGATACTGAGAAGGGAGAAGGTTTAAAACCATTCACACTTGTCTTTAGCAGCCCACCCAGCATTTATCTCTTTCATAACCCTCTCTCCCTCAGATTGCAAGGGTTTGGAGTGGGAGGGGTTGGGCTGGTCAGGTTCTGGGGGTGAGGGGTCAGGGTGGGGGTGTGGGGATCTGGGTGGGAGGGTGAAACAGGTGGCGAATGGGGAAGTTGGTTGGGGTGGGAGGTGTCTGGGTGGAGTTGGGAGGGGAGTTGGTCTGGGTTGGGGGCTATCCTGGTGGGATTGGACTGTGCGCACTGTGACAGTTCCTGTGTTTCCTCTTCAGAGACAATTATCAAGGAGATCGGTGAATGTGTTGCAGGATTTACAGGATGGAGAATTTTTCATCATCTTCCTCGAAGCATTAACTGGCGATCTCCTGGTGAGTGTGACATCTCCAGCTGAGATTGGCCACTGATTGGAGAATCAGTGAGGATTCCCCCCCACCTCCTGCTTCCCCCTCAGTGCCACGGTGAGACTAATAGGATTGATCCTTCCATGTGATTGGTGCCCCTGGTAATGAATGACCTGCCGACGGAGAACTCATGGCCAATCAGAGGATGGCAGCTTGTGGAAACTGCAGTGCCTGAGCCACAACAGGAGGCCCAGGGGAAAAGCTGAATGAAGAGCGGGTGAGAATCACAGGGGGAACGTTCAGAGTGAAGGGGCTTTTGGCCAAGAATAATCCCACAGGTCAGAGAGTGCCTCTTTCAGCAGGGTGTGAATACTACTTTGTGATGGAGCCCAGGGTAAAGAGTAATAACTGGATCATTAATGAATTTAATTAATGTCCTGTTTCAGGGTCAGGGACCGTGTTAGTCCCTTCACACCATTCCCCCAAACATCTCCTCTCATACCCACACAAAGAGAGACAGTAAACAGACACAGCAACAAGTGCGTGTATGTGTATGTGTGAGAGTGTGTGTGTTTGTGTGCAAATGTGAGTAAATGTGAGCGAGAGAGTATGTGTATGTGTGTGAGAGTGTATGTGTGAGTGAGTAAATGTGATTGAATGTGTGTGTGTGAGTGTGAGTAAAAGTGAGTGAGATTGTGTGTGAGTGCATATACTCACACTCTCACTCACATACTCATTCCTTACATCTATACCCACACGCTGATTCACTAACTCACTCACACACACACATTCTCACTCTCTCACTCATCTGCACAATCACACTCTCACTCACACACAATCTCACTCACTTTTACTCACACACACACATTCAATCACATTTACTCTCTCTCTCTCTCTCTCTCTCTCTCTCTCTCTCACTCTCTCACTCATACACATTCTCTCACACATACACATACACGCACTTGTTGCTGTGTCTGTTTACTGTCTCTCTCTGATAATGTGTCTGTTCTCTCTGTGATATTTCTGTTTTCTGTCTCTGCCTCTGCAATAATATGTCTCCCTGTTTTCTGTCTCTCTCTGCAGTTATAAGTCTTTATGTTATCTCTCTGACTCTCTCTCTCTCTTTGCCTCTCTCAACTCTGACTCTCTCTCTCTCTGCAGTCATGTGTTTCTCTGTTGATTCTAGCCCCGGATCACAGGTCTCTGGTTCTTGCTAACATTCTTCACCTACTGGAGACGCAAGTGGAACCTGGCGATTGCCTTCACTTACCTGGAACAGCAGCAGGTAACGTCTGATGGGAGAGCTGGGGTGGGGAAGGGATTAGGGAGGAGGGTGTGGATTGGAGGTGGAGGGAAGGGGCTGGGCAAGTGGGCAGAAACCTCTCAACGCCAGTGTTTATTGTCCATCCTCAGTTGCCTCTTGAGAAGGTGGGGGTGAGCTGCCTTCTTGAACTGCTGTAGTCCACATGCTGTTGGTTGACCCACTGCCCTTAGGGAGAGAATTCCAGGATTTTGTGCCGGCTTGTTATGAGTGGTCATTTTGGAAAGAGTGGCCATAACATGATAAAATTCTTCATTGGGCTAGAAAATAGAATAATCAGAAAGCAGGGTCCTTAGTCTAAAAGGAAGCTACAATAGTATGAGAGGGTGAATTCTCTGTAACAGATTAGGTATAAATCATAGAATCCCTACAGTGTGGAAACAGGCCCTTCGGCCCAACAAGTCCACACCGACCCTTGGTGCATCCCACCCAGACCCATCCCCCTATAACCCTTTTCTGATGAAGGGTCTAGGCCCGAAACGTCAGCCTCTCTGCTCCTATGATGCTGCTTGGCCTGCTGTGTTCATCCAGCCCTGCACCTTGTTGTCCCCTATAACCCACCTTGGCTACACACCCCTGAACACTATGGGCAATGTAGCATAGCCAATCCACCTAACCTGCACATCTTTGGACTGTGGGAGGAAACTGGAGCACCCGGAGGAAACCCATGCAGACACGGGGAGAATGTGCAAACTCCACACAGACAGTCACCCGAGGGTGGAATTGAACCCAGGTCCCTGGCACTGTGAGGTAGCAGTGCTATCCTCTGAACCACCGTGCCGCCCAAACATTATTAAAGTCATAAACGTGGAAAGGTAATAATTAATATTTAAGGAACGGATTATTATGAATGCTGTTGTAGGTATGACTGAACAATTCATAATCCCAGATCTAGCCTGAAAGATCTCCTTTCTCTTGCTTTTGTAATGATGGTGTTGTTCACTGAAACATGGTCACACAAGGCTGCAGATGTTATTTCAAAACAGAATACAAGTTTATTACACAAACACTAAAAACAAAACAAACCAAAGCAAACCAACTCCACACAGAACAGTTAGAAAGATCTGAAAACACCCAGTGAAATAAAGCTGAAACTTATTTTCCAACATCAGGTAGGCTTCACCCAGAAACAGCCTGCTGATTTGGTTTCTCAATTTGGACCATTGAGGAGGCCAGGAGATGTCAGCAGCTGGGATTAGGGCAAGGCAGTGAGGGTCAGGGAACACAACAAGCTTGGACAGATGGTATGGGCACCACATCTCTAGGATGGACACTGAGTGATGATTAGTTCCAGAAACAGTGCGTTGTCAAGATGGGGCTGGACTCGGACAAGAGGGATCCATAGGGGCAGGATGATCATTGCTGCGATGAGTTTGGCAAAATACCTCATGTTGTAAAACCCTTTTGGGGAGATTGAGTTCAGACACACCAGCACCATTTGGTGTGAGACCAAGAGGACTCAGTGTAACAACAGCCCTCTGGTCAGATAAAAGGGAAACACTGACCTGTCCTCCTGACTGTCCTTTCCCTCCACTCAAAATTCTTGTGCTTCGTTCCTTTTTCTTTCCGAGTATGTGTGTGTGTAAGAGCGAGTATGGGAGGATGGAAGGGAGTGTGTGTGTGTGTGTGTGTGTGTGTGAGTGAGATTGAGATTGTGTGTGTGTGGGGGGGGACAGTTTTGAAAGGGGATGAAGCTGGAGTTTGATACACTTGAGAAATTCTGTGTTTTTAATGCATTTGGAGCATAATTTGATGAAATGTTTGTCATTGAGGTGATTCTAGAGCAGTGAAGCGAGATAAATGGCACAGACCCCCATCAGGAGGGAGAAGGAACTGAAGGAGATTAATTTTAAATGAAACAAATGCTGGAGAAATTGCTAGGACTGGAAAGTGATAAATTCCCAAGGTCTAATATCCCAGAGTACTAAAAGAAATGCCCCTGAAAGTAGTGGATTAATTGATGGTCATCTTTCAAAATTCTATAGACTGTGGAACAGTTCCTACAGAATGTAGAAAGGCAGATGTAACCCCCAATGTAACAGTGGAGAGAGAAAGTAGATAGAGACATCAATAGTGGGGAAAAAGTGTGAGAGTCTGTTATACAAGACCAAATAATAGAACATTTGGAAAGCATTAATGGGATTGGACAAAGCCAGCAAGGGGTTTATGAAAGACAAATTATGTTTAACAAATCTACTGGGGTTTTGTGAAGATGTAACTCGTGGAATAGCTGAGAGAGAATCAATGGATGTGGTGTATTTTTCATAAGATCTCGCAGAAGAGGTTAGTGGTAAAAAATAAAGAAATGAGATGGAGTAATATCTGGGCATGTTTTTTTTAAAATTCATTCACGGGATGAGGACATCACTGGCCAGGCCATATTCTGAGGAAGGGTCACCGGACCTGAAATGTTAACTCTGATTTTTCTTTCACAGATGCTGTCAGACCTGCTGAGCTTTTCCAGCAACTTTGTTTTTGTTGTCTATGGTAGGCCAGCATTTATTGCCCATCCCTAATTGCCCAGAGGGCAGTTAAGAGTCAGATCACATTGCTGTGGGTCTGAAGTCACATGTAGGCCAGACCAGGGAAGGATGGGTTTTTCCCCAACAATCAATTCATGGTCACCATTAGGCTCTTAATTCCAGCACCTGCTGTTAGCAGGATCCAAACCCAGGTCCCCAGAACAATAGTCCAGCAATAATACCACCAGGCCATCACCACCCTATAATTTGAGGATTGAGAATTGTTGGGCAGACAGGGAACAGAGAATGGGAATAAATAGTTCTTTTTCTAGGTGGTAGCGAGTAAATGGATGGACTCTGTGAGGATCAGGGCTCGTATAGAATTACCTGCAGGAGGAAACTGCGTGCAACATTTCCAGGTTTACTGATGTTTCAAAACAGGGCAGGACTGTGGTTTGTGAGGAGGAGACAAGAAGGGCTGGAAGGTGTTTAAGACAAGTTGTGTGGGTGACTGTGGCTTTATAAGATTTTAGTTGGGTCACATTTAGAATATTGTGTTCAGTTCTGGTCGCCACATTACAGAAGAGGGTCCAGAAGAGGTTTACCAAGATGCTGCCTGAATTAGAGGGTATGAGCTATAAGGAGCGGCTAGGAAAACTCGAGTTGTTTTCTCTGGAGCAGCAGAGGCTTTGGGGAGACTTGATAGAAATCTATAAAATTATGAAATGCGTGGATAGGGTTCACAGTCAAAATCTTTTTCCCAGAGTTGAAATATCTAACACTAAAGGGCATGCATTTAAGGTGAGAGGGGGAAAGTTCAAAGGAGACGTGAGGTGCAAGATTTTTACCCAGAGTGGTGGGAATCTGGAACGCACTGCCAGGGCTGGTGGTGGAGGCAGATACAATAGGGGTGTTTAAGGGACTTTTAGATAAGCACATGAATATGCAAGGAATGGAGGGATATGGACCAAAGGCAGGCAGAAGGGATTAGTTTCATTTAGCATCAAGTTTGGCACAACATTGTGGGCTGAAGGGCCTGTTCCTGTGCTGTACAGTTCTATGAGTGAGTGGGTAAACACAATGCAGATGCAGTACAATGTGGCTAAATGTGAAAGGGTACACCTTGGTGTGAGAAACAGAGAGGCAGAGTATTTTAAAATTGATTTCCTCTCTGTCTCTTTGCAGATAAACCTGGGGAATATCAGCATCAATGAGATTCTGTCTGGGAACCCTGATGTGATTCTTCAACTGATGGGCAATCTGGTTGCTCACTATGAGGTGATCATACCAGAGCAGGGCTATAGTCTGAAACAACAAACTGTGTTTATATAGCGCTTATAACTGAATAAAACATCTCAAGCTGCTTACCAGGAGGATTATCACAGAACATAGAAGCAGAACATAGAACAGTACAGCACAGTACAGGCTCTTCGGCCCACAATGTTGTGCCGAACTTTTACCATAAACCTAAGGTCTATCTAACCTCCACCGCTACCTTATACTATCATCCATATGCCTATCTAATAGCCGCTTAAATGCCCCTAATGAGGCCGACTCCACTACCCTCTCCGGCAATGCATTCCACGCCCGTACCACTCTCTGAGTAAAGAACCTACCTCTGACGTCTCCCCGATATCTACCTCCACTCACTTTGAAACTATGCCCCCTCGTAATAACCACCTCCACCCTAGGAAAAAGTCTCTGGCTGTCCACTCTATCTATACCTCTGATCATTTTGTACACCTCTATCAAGTCACCTCTCATCCTTCGTCATTCTAAAGAGAAAAGCCCTAGCTCTCTCAACCTTTCCTCATAAGACCTTCCCTCCATTCCAGGTAACATCCTGGTAAATCTCCTGTGCACCTTTTCCAACGCTTCCACATCTTTCCTGTAATGAGGTGACTAGAACTGGACACAATACTCCAGATGTGACCGAACCAGGCTTTTGTATAGCTGGAGCATAACTTCACGGCTCTTGAACTCAATCCCTCTATTACTGAAAGCTAACACACCATATGCCTTCTTAACAACTCTATCCACCTGGGTGGCAGCTTTCAGGGAACTGTGGACATGAACCCCAAGATCCCTCTGCTCCTCCACACTGCCAAGAATCTTACCGTTAACCCTGTATCCTGCTTTCAAGTTTATCCTTCCAAAATGAATCACCTCACACTTTTCAGGGTTAAACTCCATCTGCCACTTCTCAGCCCAGCTCTGCATTCTATCA